TGTCTATGGAAAAAGCTTCAGTTTATTAATACGACTTATCCACGTAATAAGATAATATTTTGGCCCGACGTGACAAGTTGCCATTATGCCAGAACGACTAGAACATGGCTCAAAACATATATTTTGTGCCAAAAGCTAACTATCTCTTAAATGTATCAAAGGCTCGACCAATCGAAGATTATTGGGGTTTATTTACCAGAAAATTACATAATAATTGGTGACTAGCTCAAAATAAAGCAGAACTAAGACTTAGAATATATCAAAAGAATTGAGAAGTGCTTTGATCAGTCTCCACATTCACCAGTTCTTTTTGCAGGCCTCTTTGGCACATTTTTTCTTTTTGTCATATTTTATATCTGTATAAAAAAATTGAAGTTGCAAATAAAGTTTATTATTATTTCTTTTAAAACATGTTAGATAAAAACTTCGTAGCCTAGAAGACCATGACCCTTTGTCATTATTTTAGTTATAGATTTAGTTAATTTAGATATCAGGTAAAATATTGGAAAAAAGATCAATTAAATAAATTTTCTAATACGTAGGTACTTATTATAAAGAGTTTAATTTTTCCCAAAACTTATGTGATACTTGTACGTCAAAAGGAACAAATTGCATACATCCGAGATTATTTCAATAAACTATCGATTAGATTTAAACAAAATAATAGAAATGGTATGGAAGTAGAAAAAATATTGAAAGTATGAAAAGCAGAAGGATCTAATACCGCAAAAAAACTATTCAGCTCAAGCGGCACTGGACCACTTACCTCTCTTAATAAAAAAACAGCTTTCGAAATGATATTCTTAGCACTTAATTTATGAATATTTCTTATTATTTGTAAAAAATCTGTTTGAAATTTTTTAACATACCTATATGTTTATTTAATGAGCTATTTTGAATTGGAATAGAAAGCGGTTTTAAATTAACTATAGTGTAACCAGTTTTTATACATCTATCTATTTGATTAATAAATTTTTGACTAATCGAAAATTATGTAATGACAAATGAAATGGTATGGATTAATAATTATTGTGAAATACTAAAAAATGTAAATATAACTCAAAAATGTATTTGTTTTAATTAATATCTTTGGATTTGGATATGAAATAACATTATTTGTTGTTTTAAAATTTCAACATTTTAAAAATTATTAATTTTTTTAAGAACTATTATAAATTTATAAAAATTTCAAAGTTGAAAGCATTACTCTACTTTTTTTTGTAAAAAAAACTTATTAGATTGCTCTTTTGAACTTCGTATATTGATTTAATTATTAGTGGAAAATTATGAAAAAATACAAATATTCTTGAAATAGACCTATTTACTCAATAATCGGATGTATAAAATTTGCTTTTTATATTATTGGTTAGTTTTATATTTATGGCTATTTAATAACAAGATTTCTATATATTAAAAATATCTTGATTTTGATTTTGTAATAGAAAAAGAATGCCTTATTTGCATCTTTGAGGACTTCAAAATTGACAATCATTTTTATTAAAATTGACAATATTGTATGGATAATCTTTCGTCAATATTGTATAAGTTTGTAAAAATAGAATTATCCTTTAATAACCGTTGTTTCAAAAATTATTATAATTATTTAGAATTAAAAATTTTTTCTATGATCCTACTGAAAAAAATTATTAACCTTAAAAATTATTTTTAAATTCCTAATAAATTACCAGTAACAATAACACTCATAAGTTAAATATATTCAATTTACAATGAAACTAAAATAAAATTACATACAATTTGTAAATGTATCTATAATAATATATAATTTTATAGTTTTGCTGTTCAATGAATATTATCAATGAGAAAAATTAAATTGCAGTAATATTAGATACTTTGTGTTTCTTTTCTTTAAATATATTAGTAATATTTAAATAATATAACTTATTTCTGTATTTTAGTATAGGTACAGAGTGGTCACTTTTTAATTGAAATATATTGCTCGTAATCTGTTGGTGACACAGAATAAGTAATAAGGGGATAAAGTTGTATATTTCGAAACCCAATCTGAGGACATTTACAAAACTAAAATATCAGGACCGGTTCCCGAGATATTCTATAAAAAACAAATTAGTTCCATTTCTTGATTTCACTACAGTACGTTTAATTGCCCCTGTGATAACGTATTTAATTTTCTTATCTGACTCTTCGTAAATACAGGACTACCGTTAATTTCTTTATTTAAATATGAACCAGCGTTATTAGGATGCATCTTCAATGCTGAATACCATGATATATATTGTAATAAGTCAACATTTCGGAAAATTTAAACATCATCAGGTAACTTTACTAGTAAGGACCTAAACGGTGTATGATGCATTTGAAATAGGAATCTACATTATGAATGCTAAACATATTTTTATTTCTTTTTTTTATTCTATTATTAATAACATTTTACATAACAATACTTTTACATTTTTGTATGTGAAGATTACGACCTCAGAATAAAATTTTGCCATTGACGGTTAATATACAATGTGTTAACTTTTCCATCCTGACTCCAGAAAGTCGGTATAGAAACAGGTTACTCTCTTTATTGTTCTCACATTCAAATATAAATGAAGGTCTCAGTTTTATTTTATCTAATGCTACGGGTTAACATACTTCATATAATTTCAAAAACCGTTAATACATTATTTATTATTTCAAACAAAATTCTATTGTACGATCATGAGTGTATACAGGGGTTGGTAGGGGGGTTAGCTGCCTTCTGGATTTTCAATTTATTATTTATTATTTCAAACAAAATTCTAGTGTACGATCATGAGTATATACAGGAGAGGGCAGGGGGGTTAGCTGCCTTCTGGATTTTCCAATTTAGAGTTCCAAAAAATTTATTGCGAAAAATACAAGAAAAAAGTAAAATTTTTTCGATTCACTGTAATAGAATTCAAAGTCTCAATGACAAAATACGAACCGATCATATCGGAGAAAAAGGATGTACGATATGTGAAAAGAATCGGACTTTTAACATCGATATGTCCAAAGTATCGTTAAAAAATATCGATAAATCGATGTTTATTTAATAATTGGACTTCAGCTTTTCTTTTGGGTCACTCTGTAATATTTAGAAGAAAACTGATGCATTAGCATTGACATTAGAATTTGGGCATTTATAACCTACGAGTTCTATTCATCAATATATCGACATATCGATGTGTATAGTATCGAAATGAAAAATATCGATGTTTAGTTCCGATATATAGACATTTTCGTTATATCGAAACATCTCGTGCATCCCTAACCTCAATCTGGTAATATGCAACCGTGGTAATGGAGGTGGAACTTGTTTACTTGTTGTTTCAGCGTTATTCTTAGTTCAGTCCAATTCAGTACATACAGGTCACTTTTAAAACTTCTTATCCTTAATATCTTCCTTCCGAAAGCTAGAACAAATTCAAAGAACTCCATGTGTCAACATAGCAGGAGCCATTAAAAACCACACCGACCAAAACCATGGAAGTCATTCTTAGTCTCACTCCCCTTGATATTTACATCAAGGAGGTTGCTCTGACGACAATGACACGCCTCCGTTGGAATAGAACCTGATGTAGTATCTGGTGAGGCGGGACGTCGATTTTGGCAGGAGGCGCTCAATATGCTCCCACTGCTTCAAGCGAACATGGACTTCATCTTACTGAGATATATCTTCCATAAGCTATATAAAGTAATAACAGAACAAAAAGAAGAGCTGGCAGTGGCAGCTATCATTCATATCTACACCGACGGTTCTAAAACAAAACAAGGCTCAGGATGTGAAATATACTCCAGATTCTTAAATCTAAACATAAAATGGGCTGTGAGCAATAGTGCTTATGTATACATATAGCAGACAAGCTCTACTCACCCTGAACAGACCACGAATTTCCCACTGTTAGTACTAGAATGTCACGAAGCTTTTCCGAAGTATCCATCTACAATGTAATTACCTTAAGATGGATCAAAGGTCACGCCACATCGAAAGATAACCATCTTGCTGATTCACTAGCCACGAAAGCAGCCAACCAAATACTTTTTTGTCCTGGCCCTTCTATTGGCCTGACAAAATCGGTAGTGACAGATCTAATTAAAGAACATTCCCTTGTAAAATTCAAGGAAAGATGGGATGAAACAAGAAACTGCAGAGTTGCCAGGGAGCTCTTAAATTATCCTGACAACACTGCAGCAAACAAATACTTGACTATGACTAGACAGAATCTGCGCCTAGTCACAGGCATTCTGAATGGTCATTGCCAAGTACGGAAAGATCTTCATATCACACTCTGCAGAGGGTGCGAACAAGAAGATTAGACCATCGAGCATATCCTTTACGATTACTCGACGCTCTCATTTATTAGAAGATTTATGTTCGGCGAGTATCGGCTAACATCGGCCGATATAAGAGAAGCACCTCTTGTCGACGTTGTCAACTAAATTAAATCTGTAGACTGGCTCACGAGCTAGGAAGTGCCTATCATCTTAGGAGGATGCACAATGGGCCTAGTGAGGCCTAAGTGCCGTAGGAGTAATCCACTCTCCACACGTTATAGATACAGATTTTTTTTTCCAGTAAATACGAAAAGTTTGAAAGACTTAATACAAGATGGACACTTTCAATGAATATTTTTAGCTCTTACGGTTGAACTGTCTAAGAGAGGTAGACGTTACTCCTAGAATAACTGGGAAACAGAAAGGGGTCAAATAACACATTATTTTAAAGGTAATTGAAGAATTCAGCAATATTATTTAATTGCGTTTATTTGTATTTTATTGTAAACTGTAACACTTCATTTGAAAGATAATTTAATTAGTGATTTAATGTAAAACGTACATGTGTTATTTCAGTTGATTACGAATAAAGTTTTCACTTTAATATTGTTATGTTTTGTATCTTTGGACATATTAAATCGAAATATAATAAGTACGAAGTATAAAAAATTATGATATAATCATTATACAATAACAATTAGAATAAATTATTAATAGTTGAATAAATACATATATCTCAGAACTCTTTTTGATAAAGAAATAACATAAAAATAAAGTTTTTTGTTTAAATTATTCTGCTCATTTCTGCATTTTTGTTTTTCTCTTAAATATTGTATAAAAATGAGTGTACTTATACTTAGTTACATAATGTTACCGTCTCCACCCCCCGGACAAATTTCTGCGTACGCTCATGTGAACGATTGTAATTTATTTACCTTTTGTGCAGTTTTAAATGTCTAATCATGACACCGAGGTGGTAACTTGATTTAATTTTATCTGTTAAAAATCTTTTTTTGGCAAAATTGTTAACGAACGGCCGCCATTCAGAATTAAATACGAATTGTTGCAAATATTGTGAAAATAATTTTTTAACATTACAATTTCAACATTTATTGTGAAGATTACAATCGAAGAATAAAATGTTGCCATTGGTATTTCAGATTTATAATTTCTACAACCGATAATGCATTTTTTATTAATGCAAACATTTTGAACTAAAAATTTACAGATCCGTGCCTACTAGCAAACTTAGATACCTGATGATGTAAAAATCTTCCGAAATATTGACTAATCACAATATGTTTTTACATCTTTGTATTAAGCATTGAACATGCTTAAAATGATCTGTTGGAATAACACTAATCCATATTTAAATAAAGAAGTTGATGGTGGCCCTGCAGTTACGAAACATCGAATAGAAAAATTGTATACGCTATCATATGCAAAATTTGATATTAAACAAAAAACTTCAATGACTTTTTGTCTATTATTGAAAATAAATGTAATGGAACTAATTTATTTTTTATTATCTTGGAAACCGGCCCTGATATTTTTGTTTAAAAAATGTCCCTCAGTATTAGCTTCAAATTATACAACTTTTTTCTCATATAACCAACTTTGTGTTACCAACGGTTTAAGAGATAGCAATACATTTCAAATTAAAAATATATAAATTTATAGCCCGCTATAAAATATCTGTGAAAAAAACAGTTGTAATAATTTTGCTTTACTTCAAAGAATATAAGTAATATTTTAATAATTAATTTTATTAACTTTTAATAACATCTACAAATCTGTATTTAGTATATAATACTAACGTAAAATAATTGAAACCCAATATTGTTATACATTTTGTGAGAAATCCTTTTTGAGGAGGTTCCAAAAAAGGCCTTTGGCTGGTAGCAAAAGGCAAATGCAATGACTAAAATATGTATTAAGGTACATGGTTTAATACGTCTTGGTTCACTGAGGCGATCCCTGGGGACTAATATCGTCTCCGCCGCCTTCCGAGCCCCCTTCTCCTTTGGTCTTGTTCTCCTTTTTCCATTTCATACGCCTATTTTGGAACCAGATTTTGATCTGCCTTTCGGTCAGGCAAAGGGCATGGGCGATTTCTATTCGTCTTCGCCTCGTCAAGTACCTATTGAAATGGAACTCCTTTTCTAACTCCAGGGTTTGATACCTGGTGTAAGTTTGGCGACCTCGTTTCCTTTCTGAAAAAAGAAGAAAATAGAAACAATTATAAATCGGTTTATTTTTTGTTTATTAACGTTGATTTCAGTAATGGTTGACAAGATGCCGCAAAGTATAATTCTTTACCATAATATATAATTAAAAATAATTAATTTTAATTCACTAAAAGACCTTTAAGATATGTGTGTCAAGTGGAGAATTACACCTTCATTCAATATGTTAGGTAACGGGGTATTATGAATCCAGAATTTTATCATATTAATGTTTTTTTACCCCAATAATAATTTATTCATCCTGTTAGGCATTATAAAAAGTATAGGACAAATAGCTAGGTTAAAATTGTTTAAACATTAAAATTTATAATCACTTCAAACAACGGTGTAAATAATAATAAAAATAGACATATTGATGATAATAGTAAGACATACATTCAACTAGCAACACTATAGTAGCATTTGCTCAATAGCACTTTTTTAATTGCATTTTTAAAATAAAAATTATTTAAGGTTTTAAATTTACTTGAAAGGTAATTGTAAATTGTACAATTTACTCCTGATACATTGATATGTTGTTGAAAATTCATATTTAGTTATTCTGTGTATGGGTATACCTACTAAGTTTTTAAATATTCAATGTTAGGTAGTTATGATAACATTTATAAATAAAAACAGAAAGAAAGGTTAAAATCTCATAATTTAAAAGTATAGGTTAATATTTTGAGATATAAATACTCTATTTATCCTATCAACAGCATCGCCCCTTAAAACAACGTTGTATGTAAGACGTCTAAATCCTAGACCAGGACCTCTCAACCAGTGGGGAGCACGGGGGCGTAAAGTGATCATAAAGGGGCCCCCAATATATTCAGATATTCTAAAGAAAAATATATTTGGACTCATAAATGTACTCTTATTAATAAAGATATGATTAGTAGCTTCAACCACATTCAAGACTTTATATTAAAGCTTCAATTTTGGTCTCAAAAAGTAATTACCAGAAGATATTCAGGAAAAATTTATTGAAATAAAGGCTGATCCTTCCATGAAAGATGACTTCCACCTCTTGACATTGAAGAAGTTTTGGTTAAAACATTTCCTTCTTGATTGTTTTAGTTTTAATTTAATTGATTATACTTGTTAGTGATTATATATGTGAAAATTATGTGTTTTTTTTTATTATAACAATTAAAAAAGTTATAAGGGGATGGCACGAATATTTTTGTTATCCAGAGAGGCTCAAAGCAAAAAGGTTAAGAAACCCTGGACTAGACTGTAGTAAATACGAGAGTGGATCAATTATGAACCGACCTTTCCGGCCTGCAAGTAACATACACGCAGGAAAGAGATAAGAAGTTATGTGAGGGGGAGGGTAGTCTGATGTGTCACGACATGCCGGTACCTGTCCTGCAGCTGTACACAGTCAGTGGGTATTACGATGAGGAAGGGACCAGTACCAATTTCCGCTGGGCAACGTATCGTCATCAAATTTCTTACCAACGATTGTGTTGGTCCAGCGGAAATTTGGCAGAGATTGCGTAATCAGTATGGAGAATCAATCAACATTGTCCTAAACACAAGTGCAATTTTTGAGTAAAAAATTTCGAGGACGAGATGCTGGGTAAAACGAAACTCAACAACGACTTCCACGAACAAGACACCAGACATGAAAACAATGATGCTATTCGTGATCTTATTGCCACAGATCGTCGAGTAGCAGAAATTCAAAAAGCAGTGAGAATAAGTTATGGGAGTGCCCATTCCACCATTAAGACAAAAACTACAGTATCGAAAAATGTCTGCAAGATGGGTTCCAAGACTCTTGAATGAACATTAACGAACTGTTCGTGTTGAAATTTCTCAAAGGCTGCTGACACGTTACGAAGCATTTTTGGTGCGTATAATGACCTGTGATGAAACTTGGGTGCACGACTATGCACCTGAGTTCAAAAGATCAAGTAAGGAGTGGAGACAAAAAGACGAAGCTGGCCCAGTAAACGCAAAAAACTCGTCTGTCTGCAGGTAAAGTTTTAGCTACAGTGTTTTGGTATTATAAAGGTGATTTGTTGGTGGATTTTCTTCACGATAGACGAACCATTAATGCAGCTTATTATTGCGATCTTTTGGAGCGTGTTCGAGCAGCTTACTGATCCAAAAGACAGATATGTCCGGTAAGACAAGTGCTGCCCTTGCATAACAACGTTCGACCGCATACAGCTGTAAAAACTCAAGAAAAACTAGAAAAATTACATTGGACTCTTGTTGAACACCCTCTCTATTGTCCAGACCTTTCACCATGTGACTACCATATGTTTGGTCCACTCAAAGATGTACTAGGAGAAGAACGTTTTGACGGTGATGATCAAGTGTGCCACTGGTTGAGTACACAACCTCGTTCTTTTTACGAAAAGGGTATAAAAACTCTACCTAGCCCCTGCGAAAAATGTATTCGGAAAGGATGAATGTATTATGACGTAATTTGGTTAACTAAAAATTAAACACTCTATGTTTGGTTTTGAAAATAGAAATGAAAATCAATGTTTCGGCAAAGAATACATACCCAAGAAGCGAAACTGAATGAGTTTTTCTATGTACCAAAGTAGCAGCGACCTTGACGTAAATGGGAACTTAATACACTGGGAAACGTATAATTACAATCAATTTTTGTTGTTTGGTTCATGAGAATTAAACACATACTAAAGTTAAAATGACGGAAAATTCTTACTATGTTCAATAGATAATGTTAATAATAATAATAATTTTAGTAATAAGTATTGTAGGTAGCTGAGAATGTATTTTGATTGCATGATCCTGATAGCAGCGACTTGGTTCCTCAGAGTGAGTCTGTCATATATATTACTGTTTTAATCCTTACTATAAAATTGTTTATATGTATATTATTTAATGGATTAAATCGATCACAGTCCGTATGGTTTGAAAAACAAAATAGTGATTTAATTTTTGGAAATAGTCGAAAAATCTGGGGGTACTTTGTAGAATGTTGTTTTTCTACTTTATGGAATATATCTGATATTTACGCTTGGAGAAGAAAATTCTTTAAATAAAAATTGCTTGTAATGTTATTCTCTATAATTTTTGTCATTTAAAATGGTCCGTATTCGAGAAATTTGACAAAAAATGCAAGATTCTAATTTTTGGAATTGGAAAAAGTATTTCTTATTTAGTTCATCCTTAGATTATTTTGATCAATAAGCAATAAGAAACATAGCAATAAAAAAATGTTTAGGCATCCTCAGACGTACCAAAAACCAGGATTGGCAGGTGGGTAATTTCACATTAAAGCGACATATACATGTCTTTCTAATTTTTTCAAATAAATAATTATTTTATATCTTTAAAATGATATCAACTTCGAGAAATGAATTACTATCTTTAAAGAACAATAAGTTTTGTTTCCAAAGAAGCAAGATTATTTTGAAAAATTTCCCTCACACGTCCTCAAGCCATTCATTTCTTAAAAACGGTCATAATATAAAAGTTATTTAAAATTACATTATCAACATTATAATACAGTTTATCCAAGTATTTTCCATGTACCAAGGCCCTTAAAAGCTCAAAAAAATTATTTATTTCGAAAATATAATAAATATTTAAATGGTCCTCAATGTCTTATGTAATTCAATTTGAGCTGTGTCCAGGCCGTTGGAGTCTATGCCGGTCGGCGTAGCCAGGTATGGGTTAATGTTTTTTGGTGGCGGCGAAGCCACTTTACGACTTATCGTAGGGTGGCGGCTACGATAAGTCCTTGCTTTTTTTCTTGTTGCATATTTATGGACCGGTATGGGCAATCACAATTTTCCATTAACTACTAATTTTATCACAATCTGGCAACGTTGCAATTATATTTTCCAAATTTGACATTACGAGTGTGGAAAGTGACATTTTTCACACAAGTGGGAAATATTGTCGCACGAGGCACAAGCTGAGTGCGACTATCACACGAGTGTGGAAAATCACTTTTCACACAAATGATGTACAATATTTTTTCTACGACCACAAAATAATGACATCAAAAAATGTAAAACCAGGTTATTATTACTATAATAATTAAAATGTATTTAAAAAAAATAATCAACAATAATCGTATTTATTCAATTTTCACACTTTCTAAACAAAAAAAATACTAAAAATAAAAAAAAAACAAAAAAAAAAACAAAAAAAAAATTCTGGCCCCGCCAAGATTTGAACGCGGTCGCTCGCCAAGTCTCAAATGGCAAAGTTAATAAGTTCGACGTTCTAACCATCTGAGCTAATAGCACTTACATCAATTGAATGATCTAATCGGTTATCCATTTAACCAGAATATAAAGCAAACATATCTTAGTTATTTTAAAATTATTTTAATAATAATTGTTAAAGATAAATATCTAGGATCTAATTTACAACAATTTCAATAATTTAACAATCATATCGATTTTAGTATTAATATGGACATTACATAGATCAAAATAGAAATTATATGTTTAACATTTTCTAACAGCTACTGCGGAAAGTAGCATATTCGTACACGGGTGGAAAGTAAATTCTTATTCATACGCGTGTGATATAGGGCACTTTCCATAGTGTGATATGTGTCATTTTCCTAAGTGGTCGTAGGAAAATATCATAGCTTCGTTTGCATTTGGAGAATACTGTGGGTACAGCATTGTCAAATAATCGTCTTCTATAAGATGTACTGTTTGAAAAATATTTTTCTTCAAAATGTTGTTCACATATTCTATATGAAGATAAGCCACTAGGAACTGTGAAATTTAAATCTTCACGATTACAAGCTTTTAACCAGAGTTGAGCTCTACAAAATTATATTTATTAATACTTAATTTTTCTAAATTAATTTGAACAGTAACATTTCAGTACATACCTTATGGCATCTCCTGGGAATTTAAACATTGTTAGCCCTTGTTCTGAAGTTGTAACACAACCACGAACAACGCAATGTATTTTTTTCATTGTAATAAAAACCTTTAAACTATCTAATATATAATTACTACTTTTAAATAAAC